CCTTTTCATTTTGTTAATACAAAGGATTAACCTCCACTAAGTCATTTTTCTCTTTAACTCCCCACCCCATTTTACTTTCCTGAATGTGACCTAGAACAAAATGTTTTTGTCTTCCTCTCTCATGACCTCTCTTATTTTGTGGAGGCCTTTATCATTTATAATATTAATTTTGTAATTGTTTACTTATCTCTCTCTTCCCCAAGGGCAGAGTTGTGTCATTAATTTTTGTACCTCTAGCATAATGCTGTGCCAAATACTGGGTAGTCAGAAAAGTCATGACACATTTTTGCACAGAAAATGCAAATTTTTTCCGACAACCCAATAGTATGCATTTAGAAAACGTTCATTGAACTGGTCTCTCAGAAGACCATTTACTTCATAGTTTGAGACCTGGACCCGGGAGCTTAAAAATTATGCCAGGTATGGTGTGTATGTGCACATGCGTGCACGTGGTGTGCATGTGTGTGTGCAACCAAGATCCTAAGAGGAGAATGGAGGAGAGAGATTGCAGTATGGCTTTCCCGCGGGGGGATGGGAGATGATTTCTCATTTTCTCTCTGTCTGTGAATCTTTCCAGTGAGTGCACATGCTCTATAGCAAAAGAAAAAAAGAAAGAAAGAAAAAGAAAACAAGAAAAAAGACAGTAGGTTGTTTCAACATTTACAGAACTTTGGGGCTCCAAATTCCTATCATCAGTTTATTGTTCTTTGGTGACATATGGGCAGCTCCCAATGACCTCTGCCACCAGATATTTTAGCCCATGGGTTGGATCCAGTAAACTGCTCCTAACAGAGAGAATGTGGCAAAAGTGATGCACTGTCTCTGTCTAGATTAGGTTAGAACATAAAGTGGCTTCCATCTTCTTAGCACTCTAGAACGTTTTGGCTTTCATACTTTCATGTAGCAAGGTGCCATACTGGAAATGCCCATATGGCAAGGAACTAAGGTTGGCCTCTGGATGACAGCTAGCAACGGAGGTCCTCAGGCTCACAGCCCATGAAGAACTGAATCCTGCCAACAATCGCAGAAGTGAACTTGGAAATAGATCCTTCACCAGTAAGGCCTTAAGATGGCTGCAGGCCCAGCTGGTATCTTGATTGCAGTCTGTGACAGACTCTGAAGCAGAGAAGCCAGTTAAGCAAACAATGCCTGATTCCTCACCTGCAGAAACTCTGAGACAGAAAATATTGTTTCAAGCCACTGTGTTGGAGTACTTTGTTACAGAGGAATAGATAACATCGATACTCTCACTTTTAAAACATAATCAGGGACAGAAGAACTAAAATAAAGTTTATTTACTTTACTTGCCAGAACAATCAAACTATGCCTCGTTTGATAACTAAGTCAATACTCTAGTTACAAGAATTCACCTTTCTCAGTATGGTTTTCTCTTATCACAGAAAAACATTTCCATGTATAGTTACAGGTTACCAATTTCAAAAGAAAGAGTCAGAGATCAAGTTAGGCCACTTGTAAACAAGTTAAGCTATTTCTTCATTATTTTTTCTTTCTTTTCTTCCCTTGTTATCATAAGCAAGGAGAGAGCATACTGGAGGAAGGCAGAAGGGAAGATAAAGAGAGAGGCTTTCTAGACCAGGACCCTTCCATGTTGTAATCCTCCTGCTCCATCCAGCCTCCCAGCTATTATGGGTCACAGGTGCATGCCACCCTACCTGGCCTATTTAGGTTGGGTGGAGAACTGAACCCAGGTTTCCCATGAGGTCTCAGCCACAGGTGGTGACTTCCCGCAAGTGACGCCACTGCTAAGCCAGGCTGCTTCACTGATTGAGGGACTTATTGGGAAGGGATGCCCACTTCCCGACTCCGGTCCTCCAAAACCAGTAAACATTCTCTCAACTCATGGAGCTTATCATTTGCCTCAAATTCTCACTTCATTTATTACTCTGAATTAAGGCATTGCATGTTACTATTATAACAAGCAAAAACAAACAGAACCATTATATAGGAAGAATAATACACTGAGCTTTCATTCAGGAATGGTAGGCCCAATTAGTTTATTGGATCAGCCAATTAAGAAGAAACTAGGCTCTGAGAGCCTGGAAAGTTAGGTTGTGGCTAAACAATCAAGAAAAATTCCCAAGGAGTAGGGATAAAAGGTGCCACAGTGGTTGTACAGTCAAGCATAAAAAGAATTAATTTTCAGGAAACATTCGTGAATGCTCTATTCGCTTTTTATGTTCTCAGTTCCTAGCAGGAAATCTGGAAGTCAGTGATGCTAAGTATGCATTTATTCTTTACATCGTCGTGGTATGTCAGGAATTGTGATAATGAAACCACATACCTAGTTTCAAAAAGGCTTAGAAGTGAAAAAAAAAAAAAAAGTGCTATGGGGATTCAGATGTTGGAGTGGATGAGGAAAAGGTACTGAAGCAACAGGGCCTTGGCATCCCCCCACCCCCCTCCTCCTAGGACACAATTTTCAAGTCACATTTTCAGCTAGGTCTTTCCTATTACCCTGGTGAAAATCAGCTTCTCCTTCCACGTCCCGTCCTTAGCCACTAGTTTGCTTTGTTCACGACACTTATTGCAATCTGTAATTGTTCCACTTATTTACTTTTACCCCCACCTTCCCTGTTACACTTTCAAGGGGCAGAAACGGGTCTGCCTAGTTCACTGGGGTGTGCCTGGCATCAAGTATGGGCGCAGCAGACATCTGTTGATTGACTGAGTCTGAAAAAGGGGTGCAATAGAAAAAAGTCAGGTGTTCAGACACGGATTCCAGAATCTGCTCCTCCGACTAGACGGGCCTTCTTCGCACCGAGCGCCGGGAGGGACCCACGAAAGCAGGGCGCCCTTTGTCGCCCGCTCCAGGGGCGGGCTCGCTTCTCTTTGCACCGCCCATCCCGGAATCCCAACAAGAGCCCCCGAGCGGGGCGGGGGGCGCCTTCACATCCGGGCCCCGGGATGGGGGTGGCGGCCCACCACACACCCCGGCTCCACCTCGAGACCGGAGCCCGCCAGTCGGGCTTTCCCGCCGAGACGGCGCCCCGCCAGTCGGTCTTTCGTCTCGCTCCCAGGGCGTGGAGACCGTTAACCGCCCGCGCCGCAGGGCGCAGCCATCGTCGCTCCGCGCGCCTCACCCCCGCCCGCGCCCCGGTGTCCCCGCCCCGCTCCCCCGCCGCGGTCACCCCATTCATCCCACCGCCGCGCCCACCAATCACCGCGCACCAACGGCGCCGCATCTGGCGATGGGGCGGGGCCTCGCGAGGCGCGTGCTCGCCCCTCCCCGCCCCGAGCTCGCGCCCGCGCCCACGCCGGGTCATTCTCGGGCAATGACCGGACCTTGTCCCCATGGTGACCCTGCCCCGGGGACTGCAACGGAGTTAAGAAAGGTGCTAATCGAGGGCGAGCAGAGCTTGCGGTCCGGATCGCGGAGCCGGGAGAGTGAAAGGTGGCCGAGGCCTTATAGAAAGAATGGAAAATGGCCTTGACTCCGGGTGGTCCCAGCTCCTCGATCCTCTGCCCGGAGCCTCCAGGCTGGACGCAGGACATAGCCAGCCCGAGAGACGGGGGCCACGGTGGAGCTGCGTGGGGCGGGAGAAGAGAGGGAGATGAAGCAGCACGAAAACGTGTCCCCAAGGCTGGTTAGGGAACGACTTCTGGAGAGAAGTTTTAAATCGTTGCTCATCTTTCCCAGTCTTCTTTTATAATCCGCACTTAGCCCTGCATTGTAGACGTGTCCCCCACTGCTTGTCCAGGCTCCAAAGAGGAGGGTAAAACAAAGGCTGCTCCTGTTGAGATTAAAATTGTATTTGCCTTTTGTATCCTTATAAACTATGTGATACTGGAAATGTTTCTCTTGGTACATTTCATAAACGGGTGTCACCCCACCCCCCCTTTCTGGGATCGTTTACATAAACTTTAATTCACCTGGGAAGATAAAGAGGAAAGAAACTCAGTGGCTTTTCTCTTCCTGCGTAAGCTCACTCCCTTCTCCCGGCCTCTTCCCGAAAAAACCCTTAAAGGCACTTTTATCATAACTGAAAGTGTTTTATCATAACTGCTACTAGACATTTTCACTTCTCATTTAATCCTTTTAATAAGTCTGTAGAAATTAGGTATTATCACCAGTTTTAGATGGTGAAATAGGCCCAGAGATTCACCCAACCAAGGTCACAGTTACACTAACAAAGTGTTGGCCCTATTCACACCTCATCCCCACCCCCACCACCATGTAATTTCAATCCACCATAAATGGAAGATGAAAAGAGATCTAATTCTTTTGGCATGCTTAGTTAAGGGCCATGCTTCTAGCCAAGTATAAGCACCTCTTGGAGATGGGTTTGCATTTCTTGAGAACTCTGCTAAGTACATAGTTTACATGCCAGAACTTCGAAGGGTACAAGTAAAGCTCCTTGGGACTCTGAAATGCCAGGTCACATATAGGTTACCTTTTGAAACCCCAGCCTGACCTGAAATAATGCCCCTTTAGGTTTAAATATTGCCAGCCCTAGTCCTGGATAGATGCCCAGGTCTTGTTCAGGAACTTCAGGCTTTGTGGCAAGCAGAGTTACAGAGTAGTCAGATTAAAGACAGGGTTAGTTAGGTCACAGAATGCTTTTTTGGAGGGAGGGAAGTAGCTCTTATTAGAGTTTTCACCCAATCTGGCTTAACAGATTGGCCCAGTACATCTGCTCTAGGCTTCATGCTGTGGGCACACAAAGATGGGTGAGAAGCCTTTTCCACCACCTGGAAAAGATTACCATTGGAGTGAGGTAGGTCAGCAAATCAAATCTATGACTAACTAGTAAAAGAAGGCATCTCGGGCCAGCAGGTGGCATGGTGGTTAAGGTGGTGGAATTCCCACATGCCATGGTTTGAGTCCTGGACCTGGCAGCTTGCTTTCTCACTCTCCCTCTCTCTCTCTGTCTTTTTCTGGCAAAACTCATGTGAAAGATAATATTAACAATAATAATAAATAAATAAATCATTCTTTAAAAAAAAAAAAGAAGGCATCTCATTAAAGTACAATAGGTTAGGTGCTCACTTCGGCGGCACATATATTAAAATTGGAGCGATACAGAGAAGATTAGCATGGCCTCTGTGCAAGGTTGACATGCAAATTCGTGAAACGTTCCATGTTTTTAAAGAAATGTAATACATTGTGAAGATATATGTGATTCAATGTCATATAAACAAGATTATGATAAGAAAAAATTTTTAAGAAGTACAATAGGTTAGTACAAGGCAAAAGTTATGGTAGGTACAATGAGTTTTAATAGAGCAGTGAAGATTAAAATGCAAAGGAAAGAAGGAAGGCCCATTACACTTCAAGATGAGGAATTAGGGCTTTTGATTATCAAGTAGCCACAGTGGACTTTAAAAAGAAATGGCAACCCAACTTTTTTTTTTTTTTTTTGAGAGAGAGAAATTTCTGCTATAGGGTGTGTGTGCTCGCTGGAGAGACACAGGGAAAGAAAGTAAGAAATCACCTGTCAAGGGGAATGGCCATACCGTACTTCCTTCTACTCCATTCTCCTCTCGTGATTTTGGACACACACACACACACACACACACACACACACACACACGCGCCCAGCTTGAAATTTGAGCCTCCAGGTCTGGGACTGGAATCACAGTAAGCCCTGTGGGAGTACAGTAGCTTAATCACTATGCCACCTGCTGGCCCCATCCACTCAACATCTTTAAACACACTTTAGGAGCTTTTCCACTGTAGCTGGTAGAAAAGCCCAAATCCTCTCTGTGGTATAAAGGTCCTGCTCACCTGTCCCTCCTCATGGGTAACACAAAGTGTACTTGTGCCATCTTAGTCCTCTCTGTTTCTCAGAGGTTAACTTTTTCTTATTCCAGACCTTTTACACATGCCATCCCCTCACCCGGGTCACTTCGCCACCCAGTCCCCGCTATTGCACCCTTTTCCCAGCTCATTTGTCACCCTCTATGTTAGCCCTAAGCTGCTTCCTCTAAGAAGTTTTCCTTTTAAGTAATTCTACTATTATAACTCTCATCAGACCCACTACTTTTTCTCCCCAGGTACTTATCAAAATTTACGAGGTTTTGTGATTTGTGAGATTATTATTTTAGTGGTTGTTAGAAGACACTCTCTGGAGAGAGAGAGAGAGAGAGAGAGAGAGGAGAAAGCATCCCTCCCCCGTGGGGAATAGTCACACCTCAATATCTCAATCCCTTCCCTTCCATCTCTCCCTCCTTCCGGGATTTCAGACACATATGCACACATACCAGGTGTACTTCTCAGTCCTCCAGATCCGGGGCTCATACTGCAGTCAGCCGTGTGGGATCCGGCAGCCTTACAGGCCATGGAGTCAGCTAATTTGTGAGATGAGGGTCTCTTTCAGATCTACCTGTTCTACCATCACTCCTCTTTCCCCATAGGGCTTATAACAATTCATACCATATAATTATTTGTGCAGTGATCTGTGCTGGCCCCAACCTTTTTGGGGCTCCATGCAGATACGGTTTTTTTCCCATTATGTCTAATCTTAACACCATGTTTGGCCTATAGTCAGTGCTCATAAATAATTGTTGAATTGACATTCAGGATCAGTCTGTTTAAGATACATGTTAGGAGATAGTGACAGACAGGTTAACCAAAGTAGAATAGAGCCAGATTATAAGACAGAACATTTTCTTTATTCCCCCATTGCCAGAAGGCACTTGAACTTGCCAGAGAGAGATAGAGATAGAGAGATAGAGAGAGAGAGAGAACGTGAGAGGAAGAAAACACCCTCAACAGGTCACGGTCACACCGTAATTCCTTCTCCATTCCTGTCAGAATTTGGGGCATGCATGCACATACACCTGGAACGTTTTTAAAGCCCCTGGGACAGCGATTTGAACCACACGGTCAGCTATGTAGGCTCTGGCTTTCACAACCACCAGGCCATGGAGCTAGCCCCTGGTATGATTTTCAAGCTGCTGGGCCGGGATTCAAACTGTGGTTGGCCATGACAGATCTGGCTCCATATGCAGAGAGCTTACCTGCTACGCTACAAGCCTGGCACTCCATGATCGCTTGCAGTCACCTCCTAAGTACCAATATTCATGGCCACGTTATTCATGCTAGCCCGGAAGTATGAACAGTCAAATGTCCATCAACAGATGAATAGATAAACAAAATATGGTATAAATATACAATGGAACACTATTCAGCCTTAAAAAGAAATGAAGTACCAGCTTTGGCAGATGGCATGGATGTTATGGCAACTAGATGCCACATGGCCAACTATGCAGTTGGAGTCCCAGACGATTGGCTTGAGAAACATGCTGGCCGCATGTGTGTGTGTGTACCCCAAAACCCAAGAGGGGAAATGGAGGAGAGGGGATTATGGAATGACCATCCTCATGGGGGGGTGGGGGGAGATGATTTCTCACTTTCCCTATATGTCTTTGTCAAGTGCACACACCCTATAGCAAAAATTTTTTTTAAAAAGGAAGTACTGACAAATGTTGCAACATGGATGAACCTTGAAAATATTCTAAGTGAAATAAGCCGGGTGCTAAAGGACACATATTATATTGCATGATGCCAGTTATGTGAGCTACATAGACTAGGGAACGTCGTAGAAACAGAAAGTAGAATATTAGTTACCAGGGGCTAGAGGAGGAGGGAATGAGGAGTCATTGGTACAGAGTTTCTGTTTGAGATGATGATAAAGTTCTGAAAGTGGATAGGGCAGTGGTTATATAACATTGGAAGTGTACTTAATGCCACTGAACTGTACACCTAAAAAGAATTAAAATGAGGAACAAGCAGATGGCATAGTGGTTATGTCGCTGGACTCCCATGTAATCAACTGCGGTTTGAGTCCTGGACTTGGCAGCTTGAAACTTGCACTGGGTGCATGGGTGCACATGCCCAAAATCTCAAGAAGAGAATGGACTAGAAGGGATTGTAGTGTGGCCATCCCCCTGGGGGGGTAATTTCTCTCTTTTTGTCTCTTTATCTCTCCGGTGAATGCACATATCCTATAGCAAATATCTCTCCTGCCAAAAAAAAATTTTTAATTAATTTCACTTATTTCTCTTTACTTTTAAAAAAATGTGGCTGTAAGGCATACTTAAATTATGTCTGTGGCTACCTACCTTGTGCCTAACAGAATGGCTCCTGCAAAGGGAAGTGACCAGAAGGGCTGTTCTGCCGTCAGGGGGGAGAACCCGGAATGCACCATCAACGTTCACAAGCACATCAGGAAGTGTGCCCCTCCAGTACTCAGATATCTGGAAGTTTGCTATGAAGGAAATGGGGACTGCAGATGTGCACCTTTTTTTAAAGTTTAAAAAAAATTTACTAATTATTATTATTTTAAAATTTGCTATAGGGCACATATGCCCATCAGAGAGAGACAGAGAGACAGGGAAAGGGGGAAAGCAAGCCACTAGGTCTGGGACTCAAACCACAGTCAGCTATGTGGGAGTCCAACACCATAACCACCATGCCACCTGCTGGCCCCCAGATATTCACATTTAAAAACATAGTTAATTTTATTTATTATTATGATGATGATGATTTTAATTCACCAGAAAGAGAGAGAGAAAGTGAGAAAGCAAGCTGCCAGGTCCAGGACTCAGACTGTGGTTGGCCATGTCAGAGTCCAGCACCCTAACCACCATGCCACCTGCTGGCCTCCATATGTGCACATTAATACCAGACTCAAACACAACTGACATTCCTGGACCAAAGAAATGGGGAATGTTCCATAGCATACTCATGTTCTATTGTCACAAATACCATGATGCCGAAGGTTCATCAGACAAGCTGTGTATGCCGATTACTTACGTACCTGTTACTACCTTAAAAAAACCTGTAGTCAACACCAATGAAAACGAACTGCTGATTGCTAAATAAACTTACAGAACCACAAAAAGAACAACTTAATGATGTTTTTAAAATATATGCTCTCTTATTATATTCCCGTTGGACGGCGCTGGGTCAGACAATTGGGAACTCTGGGGGAGAGGAGGACACTTCTGTCGTGAAGGTTTCCATTAATATCTGTGGCACCAGGAAGGCTGTTGGTAAGGTGAGCAAGGGGGTATCTGATAATGATGAAACTAAAAATTTAGGATTTGGTAAAATATGTTACGGATAAAAAGGCACAGACTTGTCGGAGGGGAAAATGCACAGTAGGATTTAATCTAAAGGGCTTTCCTGGTGACCGGAGCAAGAGCCTTCTAGAGAGAGTGCTTTCTGTGCTGTAACGGGATAACCTGGCAACAAGCCCAGTGTGATGTTCCTTATGTGTTGTGAGACCAAATGAGTTAATACGTGTGAAAGGGCTCTCTAATCTGAGCTGAGTGCACAGGTGCCATGTCAGGGAAGACCGATTGCAAGTACGAGATTTCTTCAGTGTGTTCATGGTGATATTGCTCATCTGCTCTGGTTTCTGCAAAGAAGCTTTGGCTTTGGGGGATTTTCTACCAGTGACACGCATTTTATCTTTCATACAGAACTGTTTGAAGGATTGTCCATTATGACGTCCTTGTTCCTTAGCAATAGGAACCCACTCCTCCCAAATTGCACTGCCATCCACTTTAAGGGTGTTGCTCTTGGAAAATGATCGTCTCTGTGTGTTCAACATGGTGCTGCTATTTGTGAGGTTTTGGACCACCCAGAAGCCAAGCAAGTACTGATTCAAACTCCAAAGTGTGCACTAGATCCAGGGACAAAGGCATGGGAGAAGGTGGCTAGACCATGGTCAGAGATAAATTCGATTGTTGAGTCTGATCCTCAGTGTGAGGGGACCAGCAGTTAGCGTAATGGCTATGTCACTGGACTCCCATGTAATCGACTGTGGTTCAAGTCCCGGACCTAGTGGCTTAAACTCAAGCGGGTGCATGTGCATGCGTGCCCAGGATCCCGAGAGGAGAATGGAGGAGAAGGGATTGCGGCGTGGCCATCCCCCCTAGGGGGTGATTTCTCGCTTTCTGTCTCTCTGTCTCTCTATGTGTTTTTGGCGAGCGCACATGGCCTATAGTGAAAACCTCTCCAAAAAAAAAAAAAAAGAAAAGAAATGTCAGTGTGAGATACACAATCCAGAACTATTGCAAGGCTGATCTAGGGGGTTCTCAGGGGTTGGAGCCACACTGAACAACTCACCTTGTCCC